CTTGGTGTACATCTCGTAGATGATGTCGATGGTGGCCGTGTAGTTGACCAGGAAGAGCCGGGTCTTCTCCAGGCACTCCTCCTCCGTCACATTCTGCCCCTTGGACAGGGCTTTCAGGAAGTCAGACTTATAGGGGGCTGCGTACAGCGCCGCCTGGGCAGGCAAGAGGGAGCAGGCACAGCGTTAGTGAGGTAGGGGGCACTGCCGGGAGGCGGGCTTGCCTGAGGCCGGTGCCGAGCAGGGGTCTGTCTGTGTTACTCATGGAGTTGGAAGGCCACCAGCTTTGGGGACAGACGGGCCACTGGCTTGCCATGAGCCATGAGCATCTCTGAGCCTCAGTTTCTTCATCTGTAACACGGGGGTGCGGACAGTCCCCACTCGATGTTGTGACACTTTGTGAAGCCCCCGGGGCCAGGAAGCACTACTGTCCTGGCCCCTCCCCTGGGGAGCCCTGGGTGGTGGCTGTCGGGCAAACGGCAGACCCCAAGGTCTGTGTTTCAAACTCACGCCAGCCATTTCTGTCAGAGAGAGAGGGGACTGCCTGCTCCCATACAGGTTTGTGGTCTTGGAAAAGCTAGGTTCACTACGCCCCCATTTCCAGGGGCTCAGTCCTCTCACAAGCTACCAGCGCATCACGGCCAATGTCCTTCCTGTGGGCACCCCGTGTCAGCAGGGGTCCTTCTTCCTTCTTTGGGTCCCCCCTCAAGATATCTCTTGGGGTCCCAACCCTGGGCTGTAACCCCACTTGGGAAAAGGCCTCTCTTAGTAATGTTCAGGAGTCTCTGTTCGCTAATCACATGAGATATAAAAGAGATATAAAAATCACGTGAGATCTAGAAGAGGCGGGTAGGCACAGAAGGCGGCAGACTCAGGCCGCAAGCACTCTCTGAAGACCTCCAGGTGACCAGTCCATTCTGAGGATGACCAGAGACAAGCCCCTTCCCACAGAGCTGATGGGAGAGAAGGCCTTGTCCAAGAGTCACAGCCCTGGACCCAAATTCCTGGTCTCCAAAACTGTGAGAAAATAATCTCTGTTTGTGAAAGGCACCCCCTTATGGTAGTTTCGGGATAGTAGCACGAGATAACTAAGATACCTGCCCAGTGTGACAACTGCAGGGGATCCCAGGGGCCCGAGGGGGCCGAGGGTGGCCCTGGAGTGTCTCGGGATGAGGTGCCCTGGTAGGGATGTGCCAGCGATGCCTGCTGTGGCCACAGCTCTCTGCCCTTGAGGCGGTGGTGGGGTCCACGCGGGCTTGCTCAGCTGGGGAGGCTTGCTCACCTGGAAGATCTTCTGCACGATCCAGCCGTGGTACTTCTTGAGCGCCATCTCATAGGCCTTGGTGGCGTTGACCCGGATGAGGTTGGGGTGGTTCTCGTCCCGCTCCCCGTCGCAGATGCTCTGGAGGAAGACCTGGATGAAGCGGAGGCCTCTGTGCAGGAAGACAGCTTGTCAGACTCGGCCATGCCAGCCTCCCACCAGGCACTGACGGGGGCGGGTAGAGCGAGAGGTCAAGCGACCTGCTAGCACAGCGGTTCTCAACCTGTGGGTCGCGACCCCTTTGGGGGGTCAAACCACCTTTTCACAGGCGTTGCCCCCTTCATAATCGTTGCAAAAGGACAATGATGAAGTAACAACAAAAATGTCATGATTGGGGGGTCACCACAACGTAAAAACTGTATGAAAGGACCGTGGCACTTGAAAGGCTGAGAACCACTGTGCTAGGGAAGGCACCCTAGCAGGGCCAGACCCTGGGAGCTTCTCCACCCAACCACCTCCCACTCCCACCTCTAAGGCCCTCCTGCTCCAAGTCCCCCGGGGTCCTCTCTCCAGAAAGCCTTCTCTGACCTCTCTCTCGGTGCCCGCCGGTCGGAACCCTGCCCAGACTGGGGGCTCTAGAGGGAGAGCTGCAACTCAGAGCCAGGCTTGGAACCCAGCCCGCCCACGTTCACCCGGGGCTCCCTGTGCTCTCCAGGCGTCTAGCCTCCCCTACTTCTGATTTAGAACACCCGGCACCCCCACCCCTCCCTGCCCTGAGCCACGCCTGTCTTCCATCTCCTGAGAAACCCCCAAAACCTCCCAGCCAGGCGGGGCCTTTCCTCCATCCAGGAGGACGCAAACGTGGGCAGCTGCCACGTTGTGAACCACCAGCCGGCCTACCAGCCTGCCTGGATGCCCACCCAGCGCTTGGGGGTTGGGGTGGGGGCTACCTCTCCTGGCTCCATTCACCAAAGAAGTAGGGGCAGGGGCATGGTCTTATGAGGGGAGAGGTGACAGGCAACCCTGAGTCCAACCCGGCTCCACAGCCAGCGTGTTGAGTGGCTGCGGGACCACAGCATCTTCAGAACTCCACCCCCGGAGAGGGCGGTGCGCGACTGCAAGCAGCTGCCGGCCTCCCTGGACCTCAGTGGCCTCGAGGGTCAGATGGGAATGGCTGGGTGGGGCCAGTGCTGCTGTTGGAGCAGCAGGACCCCAGAAGCTGAGCCAGGAGGAAGGAGTTCGACTCCCACCTCAGGGTAGGTCCCTTCCCCAGCCCAGGCCACTTGGTTTGTGCAAATCGCGATGAAGAGCTCCGTTTCTGTGCTGGGCCACTGGGCCCCCTGCTCCACCCCGTGGCCTGGGCATGGAATGTGGCCCCTAGGGGAGGATTACCACATCTAACTCACCACATGGTATGTGTGACTGGGCACGTGAGGAGTGAGTGTAAGGCCCACAAGAGTGCTGAGCCCACATACTTATTAAGTGCGCACTCTCAGGTCTCAGGGGGCAGGTGGAGGCAGGCACAGGTGTTTGGGTGGCTCCAAACCCACCCTGCGGTGCCTCGGAGGAAAGGCCTGGCCACCTGCTTCTGTGAGGATCATGGCCAGGCTCCCTTAAGACCGCTCTGCCTGGGGCAGCAGTGGCAACAGCCATTGGGAAGGCGGCCCAGGGAAGTTTAGGGGGTGGAGGACTGATGGGAACAGGGGAGTGGTCAGTGCCCATCTCCCTGGCTGTTCTGCAGTGATGTTCTCAGGGAGAGATGATCTTAAAACAACAGGGATCAGTCACGGCAACAGCACTCCCCGGGACAGCTGTGTGTGCTGCGCTGGCCACCAGGAGCCAGAATGCACCCTGGCTGTGGGTTTGGGCGATGCCTCCCCATCAGACACGCGCCAACCCTCAGAAACTTGTCTTCAGCCTCGAGCGAACACCAGGAGAGCCCACAGCACCTGGGGCCAAGGCAGGAGTGCTTGCCCCTCCCGGCCAGAGTGGACAGCGCTGCAGCTCCCTCCTCCTGATCCCCACAGCCACCAAGATGGGCCGTTCACCTTTTCAGCCACATCAGCGCCAGCGTGGCCCCCACCTTGGGCCACTGGGCTCCATACATCTCCTTCTCCACCTCCAGGATGTTCTGCAGGGTCCGGAACTTGGTGGGATCGGTGTCATATACAGCCTTGATTTTCTGAAACAAGCATGGAGGGAGAGGGGGTGTTTTCTCTTGGAAGCTGCACCTACCCCCACCCCTGCAGGAGGATACACCCACCGGGTCCCCTCCTTCCTGTGAGCACCAGGAGCAAGAAGGGAAGCCGGGCATTTACTGAGCATCCACCCAGAGCCAGGGAGGGGCCCAGCCTGAGCTGCCTGGTTTACACCCCTGGGAGCCTTGGTGCTGCTCTGCCACCGTGTCCACTTTCAGAGGGGGAAACTGAGGCACAGAGAGGGACAGTGATGTGACCACGGGCCAATGCTGTGCTGTGGGACCCTTTTAACGTCTCTGAACCTCGGTCTCCTCGTCTGTGAAAAGGGAGTGGTGGCAGGGCCGGCCTAGAAGCACTGCTGGGGGGAAGAAATCTCGCTAAGCCCGGTGAGCTGCATGCCAGGCCAGGCCAGGGGGTGCCAGGGGGCTGGGACGGACATGTGAGTGTGGAATTTCCGCCTCATCTGGTGGGAGTGGGTCTGAGAACCCACAGGCACTAGCTCAGGGTCCACCCATAGCTGGAAAGGAGGCCCCAAGCTGGGACCAAACCCTTCCCCCACCCACCCTCGGGCTAGGGGCCCTGTACGCACCGTGATGTTACCGCTGATGTCGGCCTTGATGGGGGTGAACACGGGGGAGCCGAGGCAATCTGGGGGCAAAGGAGGCGAGACTGAGACTCCTAGCCAGGGGACGTCTGAGGCCTCCAGGGAGCCTGGACGTGAGGAGGGGCCACTGGGCAGGAGCAAGTCAGCCACTGCAAGGGCTGAGGAAATGGTTGGGGCAGTTTCTCTGTCGAGAATGTCAGTAGCCACAAGTGGTCAGGGTCGACCAGACTGCACAGCACCGCCCAGAGCAGGTTGGAGAGACCTATCCTTCCAAAGAAGGAAGGCAGGTCACTGCTGCCTGACCGGCTAGCCAGGAGGCCCACGAGGCACCTTCCGAGGTGCGCAGGGGATGCTGATTTAGCGAGGGCCTTGGGTTAGGCCCCTCCCTCCTTCCTTTGCACCAGCCCACGCACTGCTGTCAAGTCGATGCCGGCCCATAGTGACCGTGCAGGCCAGGGTGGCACTGCACCTGTGTGTTTCCCAGACTGCGACTCTTTATGGGAGTAGAAAGCCCCGTCTTGCTCCCTCGGAGCGGCTGGTGGTTTTGAATCGCAGGCCGTGTGGATCACAGCCCAACTCGTAACCACGCCACCACCAGGATTCTCTAGCAGATAGCTGACAGCCCTGGAGTCCGTGACTCTGAGCCCCTGGAAGAACTGGGAGGTGCCCAGCAATGAGAGTCCAGCCGCAGAATGAGGGACAGAAAGTGAGTCCCACGAGGACAGACGAGACAGAGCAAAAAGTGGGGGGCGGTCGGGGGGAACCGTAATCTACTGCCCTGAGATCATCTTTGAGCCTTGAACCCAACTACCCCAGGAAGTCATCCTCCAGCCACAGCACAGCCTAGTACAGCCAGGCAGACAGGTGGCCTCGGCACTGTGCTCCTGGATAGAACGATGTGCAGTCACTGGGACTGCAGTGGAGGCTGAGAGGACGGAGCCCCGGGCCCGGGCAGTGGACAGCGTCTCAGGTCTGTCGCAGGAAGAGGCAACGCCGTGCAAACAAAGTAACCAACGGTGAGCAGGTGTGTTTCCGTAACCAACTCACGGCCATCCAGTCAAGCCCAACTCACAGTGACCCTACGGGGCAGGGGAGGGCCAAACTGCCCCTGTGGGTTTCCAAGGCTGTAGCTCTTTATGGGAGTGGAAAGCCCCTTCTTTCTCCTGAGGACCCACTGGTGGTTTTGAACTGCTGACCTTGTAGGTCCACGATGCCACCAGGGCTCCTTATGTTTTGTTATGCGTACTTTATTTTCTCTCTCTCTCTCTGCATGTGTGGCAGGACACACACACACACACACACACACACACACACACACACACACACACATACACACACGCCGCAGAATGAAAGTAGATCCAGAAAGTTCCTGGTGGAGTCTGGAACCCTGGACTCCATATAAAGCGTGCACAGCCATCTTCCCATCTCACCTCCCCCTTTAACCACCCCTACCCCCACCCCCCACCAGCCAGCGGTCACCTGTTGGGGACCAGACATCACTCGGCTAGAACGACAAGCTACCTACAAGGGTTCTGGCACAGAAGGATGGCACCGGGAGCAGCCAGCTCTTTCCTGAGCCTGCCGCAGAGCCCAGGGGACAGAGGTCACTGGGCCAGCAAGACTGGGCACCAGTCCCCCTGGAGGGAGCCGTCACGGACAGCTGCCTGCTGCCCGGGAAGTCAGGCAGAGGCCCCGGTGTGGGCTGGCAGAGGAATTCTGCTGGCTGAATGCCACCCAAGGTGACCCAGCACACCTGGCTGGCCATCTAGAACATTCCAACTGCACTGGGGAACCCTCTGTGGCTGCTCTAAATGAAAAACACAGTGGAAAGAAGGTGGTCTGGAGGTGAGGGCACGGGAGAAGAGAGGGATTCAGACAGGAGAGGTTTGAATCTGGCCTGATGTCTCCCCAGCTGAGCAAGTGCCCTCACCTCTGCATGCCTCAGTTTCCCCAGCTGTCCAGCGGGTCGGGCGAGGGGGTTGAAATCCCACACAGGAAGCAGAGTGCCCAGAGCTTGGAGGCCACTCAGTGGACACTGGTGTGAAGTCATTTGTTTAAGACTTCCGGTTCCAATGAGTCTGGCTCCACGGGCCACTGCGTGTTCTCAAGAAGGAAGCCCACGGGGTCACTTTTGGCCCATGCCTTCTGCCACCACTGCCCTCCTCCTGCCTGAGCCCCCTGTGGGCCCAGGGCCTCCATGTCGTCTCCTGCCTGAGGACCAAGGGGCCCGCCTCTCTCATCTCAGCTGCTGAGCCTGGCTCTCTGCCTGTGGGGCCAGCCAGGCCCAAACAGGGTCCTCCTTAGTCTGGCCACAGGTTGGAGCATCTCACAGGTACTAGCAGGGGCCCACGTGGCCTGCACACCCTTCCCAGTGGCACGCATAAGACAATTGCCTTACCCCCCTCTAATCCTGGCATTCAGGTACTGGCCTTGTCCCACAGGGGTCAATCTGGGAAGGATTGGAAGCGGTGTGTTAGCACTGGGCTGTGTCCTCCCTGGGACATGCCCACCCACAGGATCCCCCCAAAGCCACCGCATGCCAGACTTAACAAGCTCCACTGCAAACATGCTACTAGTGTCCCTTCCTCTGTTGGCCGCTGACCGTAGGTGGCCCTTGGCAACAGCGTGGTTTTCCTGCCAGAACCTTTGGCATCAAATGACTATCGCACACAATACAAAGGGGGCTCACCTGAATTGTGAAGCTTCTTGGTGCAATTAAAGATATCTTGACATGATACCATAGCCTATGGAAGAGCCCTGTTAGCATAGTGGGTTACGAGTTGGGCTGCTAACCTCAAGGTCAGCAGTTCAAAACCACCGGCAGCTCCAAGGGAAAAAAGATCAAGCATTTACTCCCGTAAAGAATTACAGTCTTGGAAACCTCCAGGGACCGTCCCACCCTGTCCTTCAGGGTCCCTGAGTGGGCACTGACTTGGGGGCATATGACGTGTACAAGAGCTGTATGAAAGTTTGAAACACAGCAAGAGGGACAGAAAGTGACCAGCAGACGCGAAGTGTGCACACATGCTCGCTGGATGAACCGCCACGAGACTTAAGACTTGCTGGGTGTGGGGTTGCCACAAACCTTCCACTTGTTTTCTAAAATTCCACGTGAAGGGGCTTTAAAAAGTGTGTGGGAAAACCCCATTCTCTCTTAATTACATTTTTCTAGGACGTTCGGATCCAAACCCAAACCACTACACCGAGTTGACTGCGATTCATCGCGAAGACCTTATCAAGGTAAGAGTATAATCCACCTCTCTGGATTTCCGAGGCTGTGAGTCTTTATGGGAAGCAGGCAGCCTCCTCTGTCTCCCTCGGAGTGGCTGGCTGGTGGTTCTGAACTGCTGACCTTGGGGTTGGCAGGCCAATGTGTAACCTACAATGCCACCAGGGCTGCTGGAACTTTCTGAAGGAACGCCCCCCCATCTGTGAAGCATGATAAAACCAGGCATGCCAATGTCCCGTTGACAGAATTGCCCAGCTAACAAAACCCAAACGCGCTGCCATCTCGGAGCCTGTGTTAGAGAGCAGAGCTTCCCCCACAGAGCAGAGGTTCTCAACCTGTGGGTCAAGACCCCTTTGGAGGTCAAACGACCCTTTCACAGGGGTCGCCCGATTCATAAGAGTAGCAAAATGACAGTGATGAAGGAGCAACAGAAATAATTTCATGGTTGGGGGGGGGTCCCCACCACATGAGGAACTGTATGAAAGGGTCGCGGCATGAGGAAGGTTGAGAACCACTGCCCTAGAGTGTTCTGGGAGTCCGTAGTCACACCAGCACAGACCAGGGGTCTTGGTAGTATCCCGGGAGCTATGAACTCCAACCCTCCTGTGCTGTGACCGGAGGTCACAGGGGGCCTGGCAAAGGGCCAATGGCTCCTGGGCCCCAGCTGGGGGCACGTGCTCATCCTTCAAGTACTTTAATAATGTCCAGGGGGTGAGCAGGGAGGACAAGCCTGTGCTGATAAATGGGCCACAGGACGGGGTGACTTTCCAAACCGGGGCGCCCGGCAGACGGACAACCACCAGGCATGCAGGCAGCACATCGCTTTTCCCACAGCTTGGCCCCTCTTGTCACCGATCGCTCTGCTGTGGAGATGTTGCCTGTGCCCTGCGGCGGCGGGAGAAAGGCTTTTTTGTGCCGGCCTGCTCCCGACGTGCACGGTGTGGTCACGTGGCCTCGGTGGCGGGCCGGAGTGGGGCTCCAACAGCAGCTGGCATTGTCCATGGAGCCTGCAGCGGGGTCAGAGTTGCTGTCCCAGCCCCCTGTGGAGGAGCGTGGCTGCACACACTCCGGGCTAGGGGGAGGACAGCTGAGTGGGCACCTCCACGTCCACACAGGCGTGCATGCCCACAGCCGTTCCTTTGGGAGGATTTGGAGGTGGACTGCCTGTGATGAGTCGGGATGTAGTGGCGGCGCTCTTTGTAGCAGGACAGTCCTGGGTTCAAATCTCAGCTCTGCTGCTCACTGCTGGAGACTGACTCCAGGCAGAACTCGTCCACTCTGGGCTCAGGCGCCGTGCTTTCTACAGCCCAGAGGGGCTGTGCAAGTGGGTAGCTGGG